AAGAAACAAAACAAAATGTTACAGTAATATATGTATTTATGTTGTATTTTAGACCGAATTCAGATTTTATTGGTTAAGCACGAAGCTTGGTGAACAGCCTGAATTGGCTGAGGAAAGCAAGAAGAATCCAGTAAGTGTTGCCAAATCTGAGTCATTAACATCACAAGTTAATGTTTCTATGCATCAACATCTAACAACATACTTTATTAAAAATTTTAATCCGCGACATCCAACATTCTAGACAGCAGACGTATAGCAATGCTGTTTTAACAATTTGTCAACAGGATGTGTTCGCATTGCTTGTTGACAACTTGTTATCTTCCTGCAATTCAACAATTTGTCAACAAATGTGAGTGACAACCTTGCAAGCAACTTAATAAAATAACAGCGTTCTTACAATTTGTTGACGAGCTTGCTACAAGCCTGTTACGGACACCTTGTTGACAAGTTGTGAGATTTCTAGGTGTGTACTGAATTTCTGTATATTAAGAGGGCATAGTGACCAACAAACAGGAGCCACCGTTGTCGCCGCCAAATTCGAGGCATGTGGTTCCACATAAACAAATCGCGTATTTATGTCGCAGCAGTAACTCCCGGCTTACTGAGTAATTGAACAGTTCCTGCGACCACATGTGACCTGTCCTTATCCAACATTTTTGGGTTGCAAACTGTACGGGGACAGTAGAGAGCAAAAAGCGAAGGAGCGGATTTAGAGAAATAGCAACATAACAAGCGTAATACAGTCTAACATATGCTAAAACATAATAATATTGTTTCTAATAATACCCCACTAAATTGCTTCTTTGAAGTATGTTTTTGAATCTCCGGATGTGGTCAATAAACGCTGGCATAATTATGCAGTCTCTTAGTGTTTTTTGACTGTGTAATCAGTAATCATACAAGAAAGTGATGCCATGCAGAGCGAACTAAATAACTAAATTTGAATTACAAAGAGTTTTTATAATCAATCGCGTCCTCCTGAAATGTAGATGCCTACGCATTTTGAGTTGAAGTTCCTACCACAAAAGTCTAACAGCTGTGTGTGTCAGACGTCGTGATCAATCACTATACAGCTATAACCAGTATCAACTTAATAGAAACACTTTTTAGACCACATATATATATGACGTCTTAAGTAAACGAACAGTAAGAAATATGTCTGGTATGGTAGCAGTTGTGTTGAAAATGACCTTCGGTGTGTTTGTGAATAAAGCTCGAAGTTCGTTGAGCGAGAAGCTGAAGGACGGAGGTTTAAATTCTCAACAGCTTCGGAGTTTGATTGTGAGCAATTTTGGAGATATTGAAACGAAGCTCGTTGGATTAGCTCGCGGGAATCTCCTCAGCAGCGTTAGTTTTATTCAAGAAGGGCTAGGTCTTATTAACGATTTGCTCGATAAACCAAACACCCCGCCTGAACAAGAAGACGATAAAGTCGGAGGAAATTCTAATAGAGCTGGTGTCCCAGACCAGGCCTCGTCAAGTAATAAAGATTCACCTGTCGACGTAGATTCAGTTCTCAAACTTGTGGAAGCAATCGATAAGATGAAGATTAATTCGAGCAACCATTTTACATCCGCTATGGAGTTGTTCAAGAATGCTAACACGAAAGCAACCGAAGCGTTTCACAACGAGGCTTTGAGCTTAGAAGATCGAATCTTTGCGGCAAAAATTCGCGTCCAAAGCAGATTACTCTCAAGTCTTGAAAATCCGAGTCTTGCAAGTAAGCCATGTAGATTATACTTGGAGGAACTCCATGGTTTAACTTCTATTGTGGAAGACTTTCGCAGTCATTTGGAAGGATGGATATTTTCGTTCCTAAACAAGAAAAACGACAGGAACTTGTTCTTTCTGTGTCTGCAATCAATTTTGTTGTGTTCAAATTTTTGAAGAGTTTCACGCCAGGTCCAATAAATGTCTACGACTGGCCAAACTTAAAGAGTGGCGAGTGGACGTACAATCCATTGATTACAGACAAAGCAATTATTGCGGACTTGTCAAACGCTGGACTTGAATTTCCAAACTTCGTTTTGTTGAAAGAGCTGGTTGCTTCGCACCGGAGATTTGGCCTAAGTAATGAAACTGTTTATAGTGTTGCCGTGAACAGTGATGGATATCTAATTATGTGGAATAACTTCCACAGCTTGTTGAAAATTAAAATGAGTGAAGTTAAAATGTACAACTCTTGTGATGATGACCAGATCGAGCAGTGCTTAGACGGATGTCTCCTAGCGATTGACAATGATAATGTTACATACTTGTTGAAATTCGTAAGTGTTAGTAGTTGTAGTGCATCTTTTACGTCTGCCTATCTGGGCTGTTTGGAAGCTATTGACTCAAATGGACATTCAATTGGTACGCATTGCGAGAGGAATAGGTATTCCAAGGAACTTGGTAAGGGTCGCAGCTCAATGAATCCAGTTCCTGATGGTTTTGTTGTTGTTACCTGCAACCGCACATCAACTCATGAAGTAGAATTCTACAAACACAACAAAAAAAAAATCGAGCGCATTTATACTTTTAAAATCAACCTATGGGAAGAATCGCTGACCACAGTTACCAATAAGTACCAGCTGGTCGCGGTGGAGGAGTCTGGTTTACGAGAAAGACGGGCAGTTAATACGCGAATTTGAATTGTATGAAGGGGAGCGCGAGTGTTGTGTCAGCATCGCGTTCAATTATCTCACCGAAGAGTTAGTTTTTGTTTCGCGTGTTGGAAATTGGTACTTCTTGTCAACATATGAACCAGAGACAGGCAAACGTCGTCACAATGTAAGATTGACGCTGTTTGGTAAGGAGTTGCAGATTCTTCATCTGACAGCGCATTGTAGTGGACCCATGGTCTTAGTCTCTAGTGAATACGCACTTTACCTTCAGTGATAGTGACTAGCATTAAACGGTTTAAGCTCTAACAGTTTAATTAAGCTATTCAATATCTGGGTCGTACTCTTTCGTCAATAAGTACATATATAGATCAGTGGACTGAGGAGCTTTGATCGTTCCCATCATGCACCACCATTTTTTCAACCCTTATTTTAGGGACTGGGTACTAGTCAGATTCATTATAACCTTAACAAAACAAATTTGTGCACATTTGATATTTTTAAAGATAACATCACCACAGGGTGCTCTATGGTCAGGGCTCTTATTTTAAAGATTTTCCCTTTGCGAATTTCACATAATTTTCCAAGCTGTTGCCAAGTTAGTTTATACACAGAAAGCTGAGTGGATGAAGTAGATTAAATAATTTCATTGAAAACCAAAGAATTTCATAGCTCTTGCCAAGGGATTATCATATTTAGTTGAGAGCCCTGTGTTAACGTGCCTATATAGTCAATAGTCGAATATACAGTATAGTTTTTACATTGCTTTTCTTCAAAATATGTCACTAGGATGGGACTCGAGAGATTTATATCAACAATTTTAACACTGAATGATTGATGTATTTAATACTAAAACATTTATAGTTGATAGCTATGTAGACTTTTTTACTAAGTTAATTGTACTTTTAATGATAATGATAATAAAAAATAAAAACACTGTTACTATGTTTTTGAGATATTACAGTTTGTTTGATACTTTCATATGTAAATACGATGACATCATTGGCATGGTAATAATTCGACGTTAAAATTTTATCACAATTGACAATTCGACATGGCTTTTCCATTCCAAATTCCCATGATTGCATACTTACTCCTTGATCTGAAAATTTGTTTTGACTT